AATTTGGCCTCTTGTTCACCATTAAATTTCTCTCTGAGGTAACCGTGTCTTTTTCTAAGAACATTTGCTCCAGCTAAGACTCGGCCTTGTTGTTTGACAATTTCATTATGGCATATATTTAATTTTTATTATAAGTCAGGGGCTGGATGTTGGATTTGGTCCAGGAACAGCTGCCAGTGCTGTGGGTAAGTCAGGCGTGTTTCAGGACTCAGATGACACCTCTGTCCAAGTCCTCCTCCTTTCTGTCCCCCAGGTCATCCAGGGTCCACGACAACTGGAGCCAGAGAACAGAGGTAGAGGAGAACTACTCCTGCCCTTCTCCCAACTCTTAGAGCTGATACCAAGTTGGAAAGTGGACCTGAAAACAATTTCCCTTCTCCTCTGCTCCTGAATTTTGGGTTGAAGCATCTGGTGATGATTCATCTTGCCTCTTATTCCAACAGCCCAAAGCTCTAAGCTGGCCCTACAGGTTCCCCAGGGCTTTAGATCCCAGGCCAAGGTATTTACAGTTTGAAAAACAGGTATGTTATAGAGCTAAGTGCTGGATTCAATGCCAGATTTTATACAGCAAACAGTTGTAGCCAAGTACTAAGGTCGTATTCTCCTTTTCTAACTGGCAGGCCTCCCACCCCATTTCACCCATTTGCTGTATCTTATCTTGGTGTAACAACCTTAAGACCATCCACGCCTTTTTGTGCTCCTAAAGAAGGAATCATATTCCAATACACCACATTTGGGTTTTGGATTATTCAGACTGTCCAGATCATTCTGCAGCTCCCTTCTTTCTTTCTAAAACCAGGGAAGAGGCAGGGAGAAGAGAAAATGCTTTTTCAGGTCTTATTGTGGCACAGAGCTGTAACCAAGCTGGGGAGTTCACATTGACCCAAGTGTCTGGAAATACTTCCAAGACCATGCAATTTGTGAAGAGCAAGACATATGATATGATTAATCACATTATTAATTTATGTTAAAGTGTGTTTTCCACTTAAAAAGTAATCACAAATTAAAATGGCTGTGATCTTTGTATGGGAAAAAACAAGAGTCAGCAAAGTGTTTACAGAAATAAAACCCTTTTTGCATCATTATTTTCATAAAGCTTATTGAACCCAAAACACCACCTGTCACAAAGTAAAGTTAACAGCCAGTCACTGGTGGGCACTGCAAGCAGAGCTGTCTGAGCCTGTAATCAGTTCATCATGAAGCCCCCGCACCTTTGTCACGGGGCTGTGGGAGGCCCGAGCTCTGCAGCAGGAGTGCAGAACCTTTAAGGTCCCTTCCAACCCAGACTATTCTATGATACTATGATGCTTTTCTCTGCAAGGGAAGTAGAGCATTCCTCTGGGCTTGTTCTGATCTGCTGTTTATTCTGCCGCACCACTGGCCCAATGACATAGGCCACAGCTTGCTGAGATGAACAGGAAAAGGTGTTCAGATGAGATTAATATCTCCAGTCATTCTTTTAAGATTACTAGTAATGGTGCAACCATAATCAAACTCTGTATGGATCCATAGGGCTCAGTTACAGAATCACAGAATTGTTAGGATTGGAATGGACCTCTGCAGATCATCTAGTCCAAGCCTCCTGCCAACACAGGGTCACCTCAAGTGGGTGACAAAGGGATGCAACCAGGTGTGTTTTGAATGTCTCCAGAGCGGGAGACTCCACATTCTCCTAGGGCAGTCTGTTCCGGTGCTCCGCCACCCTCAATGGAAAGAATTTCTTCCTCATGTTGAGGCAAAACTTCTTGTATTTTAGTTTACGGCCATTGCTCCTTGTCCTGTCACTGGGCACCACTGAAAAGAGTCTGGCACCATCCTCTTGGCACTCACCTTTGGGATATTTATATCACAGAATCACAGAATATTCTGAGTCAGAAGGGACCCACAAGGATCATCAAGTGCATAAGAGCCTCTCTAGAGACAGGCACAGTAAGTCTGGACATGTATATGAATATTTTGTCCATAATCTCCAGAATCCCAACAGATATTTGCAATAACCATATGGCAAAAAAGGTGTTAAAACCACACCTAGGCGTAATCATGTTTGATCACTGGATTTCCTTGAATAGCTTGACAGGTTAGCTGCCAAAACTTAGCTCAGGTTTCTGAACTGAAGGTGCTATGTCCTGGCAGGTTTAAGGCAGGTAATATTTTACTAGCATCAAGAATTTAGGGTTCAAACATGCTGTATAAGAGGGAGCAGCTGAAACTTGCAGATTCCTGAGGATCTGTTTCCTCTCTTAAGATGCAGGAGGTTGATCGACACCTCAAACCTCAAACTCCATGTATCATGCATAATCAAAATTTGTTAGAACACCCAGAAACTATTATGTTTAATACAGGAAAGCCAAATTGGCACGTTAAAGCTCCCTTTGACTCATAATTCTCCTCATTCTACCTTTTAACCCCATGTAACTAATTGCCAGAGTAATACCACCAGGACAGAGACAGGAGTGGGACAGGTCACATAGCATCCACACCACATTGCTTCCTTCCAGCCCACAGTGGGCAGCAGTAGGGGCTGCTGGGCAGGGCATGGAGAAACTCTCACCTGAGAAACCAGGTTTCCTTTTACTGCTCCACCACAGATCTCCCACGACAGGCCTTTGGCAAGCAAGTTGTTGTTCAGTGTCTCTGAGTTTCCCACCTGTGAAATGGGAATAGCACTTCCCCCCTTTCCAGGAGCACCTTGAGGATAAATACTGTAAATTCTGAGCTGGTCATGTTATAAGGGTATCTAGATAAACACCATCATTGACCAAAAGAAACTTAACCCAATGGGAGAAAGGGGTATATTCATGCTGAACTCAACTTCTTAAAAAAATATTATGGGCTTTCCATTGCTGTTTACTGACTTTAGTACATCAGGTTTGCTTTTTCTTCTGATGGTTTTCTCTGTGTTTCAACAAGGCTAATGCATCATGACCAATTGTACAAAATACAGCTAAGAAAGAAATACAACACACTGCATCTCAGTCTGAGAACTAGTTCACTGTTATCCACAGACAAAACCCTGGGAAGCCTTTCTGTATGACTTGGGCAGCCTGGCAGAGGAGCGTGAAAGGCATCAGGACATTTGCATTCAGAGACCGATTTCACAGTATCTAGATAAAAATGGAACAAACAAGCTATTAGAGTTGTAAGCTCTCTTAGCACTATTTTTTCAAATTCAGATGGAGAAATTACGAAGGCCAACATTTTTTAAAGTTATAAAGCAAATGCAAACATACTATGCTTAGAGGAAATGCAACGGGAGTCAGCATTGTCATCATTTTGGAAGCAAAAGACAAAGAACAGCTGGTTTAGTGATTATCCAGTGCTTTTTCTTTAATGTTTCTGAAGGGCACAGATTTGTGTGATCGTTAATTCTACCTCTCTCACCTTTTACAGCTGTGTTTTACAGCTGTATTTTAAGGCAGTATTTTACGTAGCATAACTTTACTCACATCAGGAGTTATAACCAATGTACCCAGCAGAGAAATCATGAGAACCTGAACAGACTGATCTTCACAGATCAATAATCACTGCAGGACCTGTATAATTTTTGATTATTTCCAGACATTCAGCGAGGTAGAAGCAGAGTCTGGACTCCTGTGAAGCACTTGCTGTGCATATTTTCTGAAAAAATTCTAATAAAGTTTTAGTTTTCTAAAATCTGCACTTTCATTTCTCTTTAGCAAAAAGCAATAAACTGCTGCTTATCTCTGTAGCCTTTGAAGGAAAGTCTCCTTTGAGGCTTCTTCTTATTTACCAGCAGCTACCACACAGTCATATCCAAAACACCTTGAAATATCTTCTAAGAGTAGGGACCTGCCTGGTGTCTTAGACAGTGCTGCACTGCAACTTCACATCAAACAGAGATGTTTGCTGAAAACACTATTTAGCATCTGTGGTCTTCTTCCTGTTGCCCTAAATTAATTGAGATTATTTATCTCCCTATGTCCCCTCCTATGCTTTCCATTCTTTGGAAGGTCTAAGCTTGCGTTCCTCAAGGTTATAGGCTTGGGGGAATTTTTGTACAAGGAAGAGTGAGACTTATTAGAACCAGCTTGCATATATCATCTATAATACCTATCACAAGGATTACGTATTATTCCCATATCAGTATCTGCATACAGATATCCAGCAATCACATACCATTTCTGAGTCACACCTATCTTTTTACCTCCCAGTACAAAGTAATAGCAAATTAACTACTGACTTTTTTCCTTTTTTTTTTTTTTAAAGAATGTAACTGCATGTTCTGGTGTGTCTTTCCTTAGATCTTCCTCAAAGTACAGTGCATACTATGAGAAAAATTCCATTCTTTCACTCCATTTTAGCTGTTAAAGTCATTCTTCATTACTGTAGTTTTTACCTTTATCTCTTCTCTGTCCTTTGTTTACCTTTGATATTTAAGAGGGAAAAGTTCAGTCTTTCCTCACTGTGCAAACAGTTTCCATTCTACACTAACCACACTCTGCTATCTGGACTTCTACAAGTAGATTGGGAGACTTGAGTAGCACCCATTAATCATGACCTTTACAGCTCAGGTTTGAACTTGGAAGTTAGATACAAATGCTGACGAAACTTTGGAAGCTTTTTAATTGACACCAGGTGTGGGATTCATACTCTGTAGGTTTTAATAGTCAAAATATTAAGATCTGCTCTCCATCACCCCAGCTGGCTGCCAAGACCATAGTTGTGGCATGCAGAGTCTGTGGTGAGCAGTGCTCAGCCAGGTTGCAGGATACAGAAGAAACCACACCAAAGATCAGCATCCATCTGAAATGTTGTTGCAGCCGGCCTTACTATTCTCACTAATATTCACGCAGTGTCACATGCCAAAACAGCTGTGAAACTATGTATATACATATATATATATGAAACCAGCCCCAATGCAATTGTGCCTTCTCAAGAAATCTTAGCCTTAATTTTGTATGTCTAGCGTCAGCGAGTCAAAGTTGCAAGGTAGTTTTTTTGACTTTCCAAAGACAAAATTATTAACCAGACTACTGCCATAAATATATTAAGTAACTTTAATGCTGCTTAGCATAAGTCTTTGTTATATACTTTCATCCATATACTCCAGTGTAAAGGTATTTTTTACAATATGAAGTATTTTTAAAAGTATATGGCTCTAGATAAAATGTTCACAAAAAGTCTCAACGCAATTAGAGAATTAGGAAAAAAAAAATCAGATAAGAGTACAAAATCTTTGGAAGAAAAAAAGATTCAGAAAACAGATAATGGAAAACATCCCATTGCAGTAATTCCAGATGACCAAGTGGTTCCGTAGTCAGAAGGGCTGCCACTCAGTGCCGTGTCACCCATGAGAACCTATCCTGCGTCAGGAGGGACTGCAGGGCACTGCTGGGGGTGGCTGCCTCTCAGAAATGCTTGTCCCTGACAAGTTTGATAAAGCAACTTCCATGGCAGATACCGTTGTTGGCTCAAGGAGAATGAGTACACCTGGGAATGAAGGAAATCCTGTCTTCCCTTACCAACCACTGCTGGTCTCTGCAGAATATTCAGGTGCACTGGCAGGATGTAGTGAACAAGTTGTTTTACGAATGACAGGGAGCTTTTATTCTCCCAGGTTATCTATTTGGCACTATTCGCAACAGCAAAAATTATTTGCTAGCAATATAAAAAAAATTTCACCATCTGCAAAAGGACGTGAGTGTCAGGGAGCAGAGCACAACGTTATCGTTTAGTTTTGCTAAATCAATTATCTATATAAAATATTGCATGTCATTATACAACAGGATATTCAAGAAAGGCTCAATTAAACTTCATTCGTGTGAAAAGCAAACTCCATAGTGGGTGGATTGCTTTGCATTCCACTGCTTTCAGTAAGATGTTGCACAGGCATCTGTCCAAATAAAAACACCTTTACAACACTGCAGGTTTAGAATGCAACAAATAACACACTGCAAGAATTGAGGTCAGACATTATTCACCATTTGGTAACATTCCATTCAAATGATATTGACTCACACAATACCCAACAAATGCAGCACTTTAAGTAACAAAAACAAATCTGTACTCTAAGGAAGTAAAACAGTGCAAATATTCCTGTTAAACAAAGATACACCATGTATATACACACACAACACAAATGCACTGTTTTGTTTTGCAGTATAAATAGATCTGATAAATAGTTCCTAAAACGAATGAACTACTGATTGTCAGTCCCAAACAGTTTTCATCTAGTATAGAATGTAATAAGCTTCAAGGATCAGATGACCACAGCCAGATATGGCTACAAAAGAGTATCAAAAAATTTCACTGCATGGTTATTTTAAAATATATTCTCTGTACATCGAAGTTAATAATACATATATACTAAGTTGATATCTCAAAGTCAGCTCTGATCATGCAAAGAGCAGCACACAGAACATCCATGACTCTACAAGGAGCCTCAAGGCTGGACCTGTGTGGAGTGCACCATAATGCTGCAAGACACTTAAGGCCCAATCCCAGGACTTAACAAGAGGGAAGCTTTTTTTCTGTCTATGCAGTCAACATCTTGGCTTAATTTCCATTTTCTTCCTCTATTGATGTAGCACTAGAGTTCTGCTGTCTGCTAATGACATGTCTGTTTATCTCTGAACTCCCTAATACCATACGAGTACACTTAAAATGTATACACAATAAAAGTAAATATTAGAAAGGGAAGAGATGGAAACTTGTTGAGGAAATCCTAATTAAGGGTTATTTGCATTTAAAACAGATTTTAAGCAGAAAAAAAGTCTTTTTGGAATTACAGTAAAACAGACAAGTAGCACTTAATTTGATCTGAAGTGAAACACATGGGTGTCAATCTCTCTTCAACTATTATTTAGTCTCCATCTCCTCAATGCCAGGGCTGTGCTGAAACCATAACAAACAGCTGTTGCAAAGGCAAAAATCTAGAGAAGAAACAGGGGAAAAAAAGAAAAAAGTGAATCACACATTACATTGTTCTACAATTGTTTTTATTCTAAATGAATATATAAACACAAATTATTTAAAAGTTATCCCCCTCCCACCAAAACATTTAAGGTAAAGATAAGTGTGGGATCACTAGAAGTCTCTTTAGGAACTTCTCTGTTATAACCCCATTTTACTACTACCCTATGTTACTACTTTACACTTGATTGCTTCAGAAGACATTTTGAAATAGAATATTAAACAGAATTCCTGCAAAGTTATGGTACAAAGTAAACATGTATACATACACTGTGCATTTCAGTTTTCTCTTATCTAGACTGATCAAACATTAATCTCATATTTGTTTCCAAGTGAGTGTCTCCATCAGCAAACATCTAGGAAGACATCCCTCTAAATAGCAGAGCTCTTTTACTTGCAGAAATACAGAAAGAACTCTAAGTCTGGCCTCCTCGACCAGGTATCCAGTCTAACTAGAACAACTTCCGGAACAACACCAGGAAGTTGCTCTTGCTCAAGAACTGAACTGGACAGATTTGAACTGAAGGTCATGTCACAACAAAACTGAATACATAATAATGGGTTATGTCTCTTTGAAGATACGAATTCAATCATAACATGAATGCTTTGCATACACGTCTTAATTTGACAATTGAAGTTTTGAATAGATGCTACACCATAGAAATACCACCTGTAAAAAATGAACATATATATTTCTAATCATGGTATATGAAAGTAATTTAAAAAGACAGAATGTTAGCAACCTTATATATTTTTTTTGTCATGTAGCTTACAGGACCATTTTAATGAAGTATTTCAAAGGATTACAAATTTTTTTCTGTGTGTTCTGACTTCCTAAATACACACTTTTGCAAAAAATGCAAAGACACTAAAGACTATAGTTATCTGATTCGCCATTTTCAAGCATCTCTTAATTGAAGATACTAAGGCAAGTTACAGAAGAGTCTCCTCCTCCCCTATCTTGACAGGTATTTGAGGGCTTTGAAGAACCGAATTCTTCCTTAAAAAAGTAGTACGGAAGGAGGAAACAGTCTCTTGGAGTCGCCAGTATCCTGTTGTCAGACAAAATTACTTAAGTGACCATATATTCAGTGGGATCTGAACACACTAAACTAGGATTGAAGAGGTACACTTAAGGGTAGAATTTGAGATACCTGCTTAGTATAAAGATCTCCCTTAGTTCAGACACAGCTATGAGACACCACCTCTGTCCTTGTGCCACATGGCCACACAAATCAGATGTGCTTGTGTGTTACTGGGAGGTGGTTAATGGTGAGGAACTCCGGACTTGGAGACTGACGTGACCACTTCACCTCTTCAAACTATTCATCTGTTTTTATCTTAAGATGAACTGAGGGTGCTTACTATGTAAAATTTATGATGTACTTTTAAGTTTTAAGGACAACAGATACTCGAGGAGGGTTTGAGAAGCTTAATAAATATATATTGTTCCCTGAGGTATGCAAGACCCTCTGGATGGAACAAAAAATAAGAGCATTAGTTTTAGTACTTTAAGCTAAGCCTACATGGCATACCTCTACTTGCCCCTGAGGAGTCCAGCCAGGGAGAAAACTAGAACCTGGTATATTTTCTGATTCAGCTATGCATGCCCACATAAGCAGATACAGTGATTCAGTGATGCATTCTGAACTTAGGCTATCAAGAAAAGCACTCTAATAATTGCCATAAGAGACAGCACGGCCCTGACACATAACTTTTATGTCTGATTTAATAAGTACGTATGTGGAGCTTCACAAAGATCTAGTCCAAGTTTTATTTTCCCATGGCATATTCAGGACTATCTAAATGGTATAAAAAAAAGGCAACTGAAAATTTGATCGCAGGCATGAAATTCATACCTCATTCTTTGATAAAGCCTCAGTTGTTATTTTTTCTTCAAATAACCAACACCATTTTTACACATTACCTTGTCTAAAAATTATAAACTGTAGTGATCATATACTTAAAAAACTATGGCGAAGAGTAGCAACTCTACACCGCAGTGAAGAGTAGATATCCCATTAGCTTATACCAATAGTTTTTGCACGTTGCTGTTAGACACTATTTGCTGCTCTCAAAGACAATCATTTCTCTCACAGTTCCTCTTTCTATTCCATCTTGCTGTTAAGTTCCCAAGTTGAATGGCTGGCTACAAGGACTTACAACAGATTTCTGTTCCCCTGATACAAATACACAAAATACATACCGAAGCTGCTATGCTGATGTTATATTCATGACCAGTTAGAATCCTCTCTTGTGCGGTGGAATTGAATTTGCGGGGAAAGTGATGCAGAGATGTAGTTGCTGCTTGGAGTAGAAAAGCTCCAAAATAAAAGACAAAAGTAGCCCCATGGAAAATAAAATCCTAAAAAACAAATAACAGAATCAGTCTGGGCTGCAATCCATACGTAATTCTTCTGTCTCAGTACGAACGAAATCCAACACTGAAACATGAAACGAGCACTGATAACAATAACTTTAGATAAGCTGTGTTAAATCCATGCAGGAGCTTAACCTGAACATGTTTTCACAGCTGCTTGTACTTATAAGCAACTCAGTAACATTATTAGTGATAAAGTGCAGCTCTCTCTCTCTCCAAACCTTACATTCTTTCAAATTAAGAGGCATGTGCTCATCTTTATGTCCACATGCTGACCTCTTAGATCACTTTAAAGCTATTGGAGCTTACAGAAGTCTCCCTTCATACAGCTTAGATAAAAAAGAAGGGACATACAGGCCAACTTTATCACATTTCAAGCAGTACAATATGATCTTGCAGCCCCCCACATCCCTTCTCAGCTATAACCAAAGCTCAAAAAATGCCCCCTCTGTGCTTAAATTTTGCTTCTGTGAATGCCCAGAAACACCTCAGCCTTGACACAGATTAAATTTACTTCCCAACATCAGAATACAAGACCTGAGGCATTTCCTCAACTCACTCTGACTTGGCTCTACCCAATAGTCAGTAATCTAAAAGTTCTTCATGACACTGTCTAATAAAATGCCTGAGATTTGAGAGGACGGGTGTTAGGATTTACTTTAAATATGCTTCTCTCCTGGCCCTCTCTATTCCCTCCTCTGTGGCGAATACTAACTGAATGTAAGGTTTAAACATCTAACTCTCATTTCAGGGTTCTATTACTGACACACAGGAAAAAGGTCTGGTGCTCAACTATCTTTGCACGTTCTATTTCAGAGTCCAGTGTTCCAGCAGCAAGATCTAAGACATGTTCCAGTACAGTTTCAAAACATCTAAAATATTCTTCTGACAACTCCTTTTGTTGTTGAGTCTGAAAATTGCACTGACATCTGCACTGCACTCAATTCCTGAGCCCATACAACATGTACTTTGTGCCTATACCTATGCATGTCTGCAAAAGCCACAGACACAATTTTTAAAATACACACAAGTATATGTATGCTTTTGATGATGTTGATATCCATGATATACAGTCTATCTCCAGTATAATGAATTCTTTATCAACTTTAACTTCATTCAAGTGCAATGGACTACCAGCATGTCAAGAGTGAGAACTCAGGGTACACTATGTGTGCCCAGCACAGCAGCAGTCAGCATTTATATGCACTAGAAATTACTGTGTGACATCCTTACCTAATATCAAAGTGCTGCATTTCCCAGTTTAGAAACATGCAGTCTCTTGGCAGATGTGAGATTTTCTTTTTATTGAAAGCATTTTCTTTTCAAACCCATGACTTGTTCCATATTTGATAGCAGCTAAAGCTACTTATCACACCCTCATCGGTTTTGATAAGTTACAATAGAAGCTGCTACTACAGTTCCCCATTCCACTTAGATCAGGACTGACTGCATACAAGAGAGATATTTTCAGAAGACAAACTCTTTCATTTCCTTCATTCTCCTGCCAAACCCTCTAATTTCCTTCTCCTGGAAGCAATGACAGTGAAGCTATGTAGCATCAGTAAGGCTTCACGTTCACATGAACCAAAAACGTTCTGTGACCAAAAACCCCAAGATCTTATGGGGGAGAGTTTTTTGGTTTTTAGTAATTGTTGGCATGGTGCCTAACTCTCCCTTGCCTCCACACTTGTATAATCATTGGAACCTCATACAAAGTGTTCGTAAAATACTAACAGATCTGCATAAGTTAGTTCACATCTAATTTTGCAAATGAGTATGTTGTGAGTCAGGTTGCAAAGGACAGTATTTGTCATACCATCTGGTTTAATACAGTGATGTACAGAGTGATGTGGCTCCATAAGGTCCATCTTTTCCACTGTGTAGCATCTTATTTTTTAATATCTTTATTAGCATTAACGGATATATCCGTTATACTACGTAAGGTATTGCTAAATGCAGAGCTGCATTTACTGTAACAAAAATATTCTAGTGTTTCCAGTAATTATTTATTTATTTGCAACAGAAGGTAAAAAACCTTGTGAAGTGCCGCTAAAGAGTTTAGTGCCAATAAGTTACTGAACATTTGGGTACCCGAAAATAGTGGTCAAATGATCTATCTAGTCTTATTTTTGTTGACAGCTGGAAAGGGCTGGGTTTTAATTACCAAGTTAGAGATAAAATCATTCTTTCTGCATTTATTTAAGATGTTGACTGAGTTATGACAGCTTTTCAGATGAAGCTACAGATACAGCTTTTATACAAGTTTTGTAGCAATTTCCTGACATAGAAAGTTTTCCAGTCATTTATTATATGCAAGGGGACAAAATGAACAGTACAACAAATCACTGCCAGTATCAAGTAGCCAAGGTGTAACACACACACAATTGTCATAAGATGAAATTTGTATAGCATTTTCAATCTATAGAAAGCTTTGTCTTTACCCAGCAACTCTTAAATAGATGCATGACTGTAAACTGGCAAACAGTTTCAATGAAACCCAGGACACTATTAATTTACTTCAGTTATGCACATGCTCAAGGGCTTTGTTGCATCATAATTTGTGAGGACGTTGCAGCATAAATCCCTGTAAAGGTCTCTGTGATTGTAACTCATTATTAGCCTAATTACTGCCTGTATTGTGCTGGAAAGCTGATGCTGTATGTTTGTGTACTCACAGTGCTAAAGTTTTTTTTTAATAGAATCCAGTCTGTTATCACTGATAGGCTTTGAAGTTATCTGAGCTCCAAACTCATGAAGCTCTATGATTTGCTTTAAAGACCTTTTGTTTTAAGGGATTGTCGGTGAATAACCTGAACAGATTCCACAAATGTTGATACTGAAGTATGCTATTCTAGCTGTCATCAAGGAAAGTGTCAACAGGAAAACTAAGCCATGTAGGAGGAAGGTGAAGGTGATCAGCAATTACAGACAGCCATACTTTAGTGTTTTAGAGGTTGTAATCCTTTTAGATTTTTTTAAAACTTCCATTCTGATCACAGTTTTGCCATCCCTTTTTACTCACTTCCAGTAATATAAAAGAGTGTGATATCATCTCATGCTCAACTATTTGAGTACTAAAAACTCAAAGTAAAAACAGTTAATTACAAAAAAGGAGCACATAAATTAGCAGTCAATAACCTGAGGTATCCATATGGTTCACAAAACCAGAGCAAACAACTTCCCTTTTTTAATAGGAAGGTACAGTCTTGTGAGAACTGCTGGCACAAGCCACAATAATCGATTACAGCAAGAATCAGGTTTTGTCTTCACAATGAGGAAAAGTTGAGCAGAGTATAATTATATCTGTAGTCTCACCAGACGAACGTTAAGTCTCCTAATAAGAAGCTATATCATCCTGCAGGTTATTCTGTCTTTGACCACCTAAGGTCTAACAGCCACTCAGCATTGCTGCCCTAGTTTTAAGGAATCAGCCCAAAAGTCACCCATAGACTTTCTTAGGAACTGGAGGGGACCTTCTGGGTACTGAAGTCCAGTCTGTGGAATCTCAGACAATCCCATCACACAGAATGTTCACAAATGCATCCCTTCCTTTACAATATTAGATGTATCTTTCTATGTCCCATTATTCACAGGGTGTTACTACCACTTCTTTAATACCAGAAAGTATTTTCTGATTACCAGTCCACAACAATTTCTGGCCATTTAAACCAATTTGTTGTCATGCCTTGTTAAACTAGTCCTCTTCCTGCTGCTCATGCATTTTATGTGCTCATAGAGGACAAGTATATTCCTTCAGTTTTGAAAGCTCCTTCAACCTCCATCATAAAACAGGTCCTGTATTTCCTCTGTCATCTTTGTAACCCTATTCTTTTTCCAGTTTTGAATTCTTCCGTTTTGAAAAACTTTCCACTGATACAGAAGGCCAGTCATTAAGACTTTGGATCAGCACTTCTCATTAGATCATTATCAGTTTATAAAACAAAGGGAACCCTTAAATAAAGAAAAAATCTTACCGCCTGGTTCCAGTTGACAGCAATTCTATTTGCATAGCCGAAGAGGAACACAGAGAGGAACACAATGGACAGGAACCATGCAGTCACTGCTACAAACATGACCCATCCCTGCAGCAGTGGCAGCGGAACTTGGGTAGAAGCGACCAAAATCCAGACTATTGTTCCAAAAAGCTGCAAGGGAAGGAATACAGAGGATGAACTGAGAGAGAACTTTTATTCAGTCATTTCTGCCTAAGAACTGATATCACACATGACACATCATCAGATTACTCTTAGGAACCAAGAGGAAACACTTCCAAACTACTCAGAAAGCCAAGTCCTCTTCTCAGAAATGATAGGCACTAAGTGGTGGTAGGACAAAGCCACTCTGAAATTCTTCAAAGTTCTTAAAATAGTCTTGAAAATGGGATTTACAAACCCAAGTGATTTGTGTGCTCCTGCTGCTGCTGAAAATTCTACCCTTACTCTCATTTTGAGGAAAATATAAGAAATGTGAAGCAAATCTATCTACATATACTAAAACTGGCATGAGAAGGACATACTTCAGCTTTTGATTCAATCTCATACTATTTAATTTAGTAGTCCTAATCAGATGAGATACAGAAAAGATGAAACTACTTCTCTTTTTCAATGTATTTGTAATAACAAACTGAAAGAGAACACATTAAGCAATAAAGTGAAAGAGAAAACTAGAATACACAATAAGGCATGTTGTAAATTATGTTGTAAAGATTAGAAAAATATACAGCTTTCCAGAATCATCATAACTTGAGGAAGAATTCAGTACTGCCAATTTTCATTTCAGCATACTGATCACAGCGAATGAGTGAGAGGGACACTGTGCTATGATGGACTGATGGAGAATTTATGTACTCTATGACTTCCCTGGTTTAATCAACTCTTGGTGTAAGGAAGGCTACTATTTCTTCCTGCAAATCCTGCCTCTTAATAAAAAAAGGATAAATGGAGTAAATCACAATTGTCACCTGAAGTATGTTCATTTATTACAGAAAGATTTAACTTCATAATCCAACCTGCTGAATAGTGACAACCACAATCAATTTCCAAGCAAGTTACTTCTCTCCTGTTTAAATTCTACAGATTTACAACCAGGAAGTCAGAGGTTACATTTTCAGATTCAGAGAACTTCCTTTTGTATCAAGGTTGGATGAGAGATACCTTTTAAATAATGTCTGCTATAAAATTAGTTGGTTCCTCTCTCATGTTACTTTGCAGCAGCACATATGTAAAGATGCATTGTAAGTCTCAGTTCAAAGCTCCCAAGGGTTTATGTATTAGCGTTCAAGTTGTTCTCTGGGGTTCCTTTTTTAGCTGCTGTGAAGAACCAAACTTTCTCTAGTTTCACAAAACTGCAGGTGCAAGTCTGTTACTCAGTGAGCAGATAGTGATGGGCAGTTAGGAAGCAGAAGGGATATCAGAAAGTGTCTGTTAAACAAAAAAAACTGAGTCACGTGAAATGTTTTCAGTATTTTGAATGTGCAAACTTGCAGGGTTCTTTAAAAATAAATTTAGAAATATACTGTAGAGACTGCTAATCTCAGCACTCACTATTGTGTTATTTCACACCACACCTGTCCACTTCAGCTCAGCTGTCAGATATACAATAGGTGGGCCAACCTAATTAACCTTTTGTTCCTACTGACTCAGGGCCTGATTTAGTGCCTGGACTTGTGTTTTGAGCTCCTTGCTCAGGCGGAGTTTTATAGCTTGTGGGGCGGGACCCAGCTCACAAGCAGCATTCTGCTCTGATCCCGAGAAAAAAAAAAAAAAAAAAGTTAATAAAATCAGTTCTACCGTGGGGTTTTTTTTTTCCCTCTTACTTATCAGTACAAGGGCACTGCAGAGCCTCATACACGGCCTTAGCTCAAAGGTCTCAGCCCCGTGTACACCAGCGAGGACTTACACATACATGACACTAAACACACTTGTAGGAGTCTGCACAGGACCAGTAACGCACGCGCGCAGGAAAAACCCGGTGTAACTCCACGGTGCGATTTTGGGTCTGGGTCACTGAGTGGCTTACAGTCCTCGACAGCTCAAACAACCCCGCGAAAACCATCTCGGCGGGGCCGAGGTGAGCGGACCCGCTGGGGCCGGGTCCCGCTCTCCCCCCGGCCCGGCCCGGCCCCCGCACCTGCCCCGCTCACAAAATGGCAGGTGAGGAGCGCGGGCGGCGCGGAGCCGCTGCTCGGCCGCCCCGGGGAACGGGGGGGCCGCGGGCGCGGAGGGCAGGGAAGAGCGCGGGAAGGCGGTGGCCACTTCCCCCCTCCCCGAACTCCCCCGTGCACTCACGATCTCCAGGAAGATGACGGCTCCCGAGAAGGTGCGCAGGATCTCCAGGCCGGAGGGCAGCGTGACCCGGGCAGGCGGGAAGTAGGGAGAGGGGTTGGGAGGCGGCGGCATGGACGAGGCTGCCCTGGGCAACATGCTGCCGCGGCGGCGGGTGCGGTGCCGAGCGCGGCGGGGCCGCCCGAGCTGTGGCCAGGTGGGCGAGGGGGCGGGGGCAGGTGAGGGCGGGTCGGTCCGCGCCTCCTCCCGCCCCCCGCCCGCCCCGGGCCGGCACCGCCCCGCCTCGCCCGGGGCTGGGAGGGCGGCCCCGCCGTGCCGGGCACCCGACCTGGGGCTGGGCCGTGCCCGACCGGTGCTTGTCCGGCTTCCCCGGGAGCGCAGCGCTCCGCATTCATAAGTCCTGAATCAGTCCGTGATTTCCTAATGCCGGCTTGCAAAAGGTTGTTATTTACCTTCTGGTTACAGATATTTGGGGCTTCGAAATTACGAGGTGGCATTTTTCTTTTTTTTCTTTTTTTTTTTTTTTTAAAGGAACCTTTAGAAAGGAACATTGCCCATTCAAAATACTGAAAACATTTCGTGTGTATCTTCTTTTCGTTCAGACTGGCTCAACTATGCACAGTTTCTTAAAAGTAATAGAAAATGTTTGTTTGTAAAAGTTTTGGGTGGGGAAGGGTCTAGAAAGGCACACGTTCCCCAGACCACTTATAATGCATTTTTTCTTATGTTTCTTTGTATAAACATCTTCCCTAGATGAAGGATGTGGCACTAAGCAGCAGTTTTGTTATTTCTCCCAGACTGGTTTAGGATTAAGTGTCCTGACTATGGGATGACTGAGCACTGTTTCACCCCAGTGTTAAACTGTGCAGTGTTTCTGGGTGTTTATCCACAACACATATAGCTGCGATTTTACAGATTACATTTTAAGAAGGTTTCATGCAAGTGTAGCAGCAGCTCTAGAAGTTGAGCTAGCTCGGGTGTTAGGACTATATTCCTTTATGTTTAGATGCATGATGTTTCTGGGATGTGCCTTTGTCATGACAAGAAATGCCACAGCCTGAATGCCTGTCTTCCCCACCCCAATCCAAGCTCCAGGTGGAGAGCAGTTGACTCCAGTAAACACGACTCATCCATGTTTCTACTATACCTAGTACATAAATAGGTTTGTGATGCTTTTAAAATGCAGTAAAAGCTGCTTGGCTTTGAAATTGTGGCTTCTAAAGGAGAAAGAAACAACAGTTTGCATTCTTTATTTTACACTCTTCATCCGCATGCCTGTTGTAGCTGGATGCCTCTTGCACTTAAGTAGGAGATGTGGGACTGAATCCCCATTAGGCTGAGGAAGGCGCTGAGCCCAGTCTTCCCTCTTTTCTAAGTGCTTTACCCCATCAGTTACTGAATAAGATAATATTTCCTCTAGACCTATTTTAAAAGTGAACCTTGTGTCCCATCCATTTATCTTCAGGAAAGGACTTGGGCTCTGGAGGTGTATGCCTACAGGACCTGATTTGTGCGTGTTTTGGAAAGGAATGGGGTTCAGACTTGTGCCTAAGTGATTAGGTGTAGGTGGTTTGTTCTTGGGGTTGCATTCTGAAGACCATATGTCCAAGTAGTTTCACAGTCTGGCCCTAAATCTGTTGAGACTGCCCTGCAGAGGGAGAAATCTCAGTGGGCGGAAAGCTGGGTTGATCAGTTTATGATTCAGAAGGAGAACTGTGGTTGTCCTTATCTTATACAAAGGAAGTACAAATAACACTTGGTCATAAACATCTCCAGTGTTATTATCCAGCTGTGCAATTAATCTGTGTGAACTCCAGCAGCACTGGATTTTACTAATGATTCTTGCTTATAAATACCATTCCTTTTAGTCTGCACATTCTTTTTAACACTTCTTTTCTAGAATTTTAGTAGGTTTTTACAATAAAGTCTAAATTTCACTGGGAGGTATAGGTATGCTGAGTAGATTTTTGGCAGGGCTTTTCCCTGAATCATAATAATTTAAATGAAATTGACTGTTTAAAATATTTTTACTGTGTTCAGGCAGGATGCACTACAGCACCATAAGGGATTGCTTTTATACTGATTCGTGACCTGTTTGAATCTTTAAAGATCTGGATTCTTTAAGGGATTAGTGTCAGGATTGCATTTTTAAATTTCCATGGCAAAAGCACATGTTTGTGTTGGACTGCTTTTTAATAGCATTTTTATGTAACTAATTGCATCTTGGCATGTTACAAGGTAAACTAATGACGCTGCTTCAAGTCCACCAGAGTCAACAAGTAGACAGAAGTATATTGATTCACTGTGCCACGGAAGGTCTGTCTATATAACCACAAGGACTAAAAACTGCTCCTAAATGGCTATAACATAAAATCCAAACTCTTTCCCCTTCATGTTGTTATGCTTCTAGCAGCCTAACACAAAGTTGGCATTGTCATAGAACTACAAAACCAGTTGCTAACAATTTTAGATTATGCAAAATAATTGATGATTTGAGTTCCATGTACAGTGATGTAATATGTAGATATCTTATATATAGAAATTAAAATATCTGTTTTGGAATACTGTAATTCTCCCTCAAGTGATCAACCATTAGAAAAATGCAGTAAGGATATGAAAATTACTTATACAGCAGTCCTATGCAGCAAAATTCAGGCTACCTTTTGTAATGTGTGGCATGACACTTATCGAAAAGCTGAATATTAGTAAGGATACTAGAGTAATAGGTGAAAGTAATGTCAGTGTAAGAATTCATGGTCCTTAACACCTTACCGGAGTATGTTATCAAAAGCACTTCAGGAAGAGATGTAATCTCACGTCCCATGTTGCAGTGTGCACAAGGGTGGTCTGCCAAAATGGCCAAAGGGATGAAAAATAAAAAAAAAAACCAATAAATGAGAGTAGCTCTATTCTCCTATGGCTATGTTTACACACAAACAGATTTCCTCAAGCCAGAGCAGAGCTAAGAAAGTATTAGGATTAGATAGTATTAAGATCTGCTTCTTTATTCCAGAAACTTTCTTTTTCTGGAGGAAGTTGCCCCCAAAAGTCATCTGTGTTTCTTTTAGATTTTCAAAGCTGCTCTTTCTTAAGAAAGAACACAGACTCTCTTAATCCCATAATTAGTTACATATCAAAAATAGAAAACCTGAGGCTGATCGTATAAAATGCAGACTGTTTTTTTAATGGATTAATTAATTTAACATGCTCCGTGAAATTGCATGCAGGATTCTGATCTCATACTGGTACAAACTCTGGAGTCATTCCCCTTTAGCCAGTGAAATTAAATAGGCATAAAACTGGTTTGCATAAGATGAGTGATAAGGAAACCCTTTTGCATCATTTGTGTAGTGTATTTACTCAGTGGTAACAGAACTTGAGAGTCATGGTTGGACCTATGCATATTATGAATTAGTGTGCAAATACCACTACACTATTGAGGTTTCTTGGGAGGCAGTGCAACAGTTTTTATTTCTAGCAGGCAGGGCCAGGCTTGTGAATGCATGGTGCCCCTTTTCGAATCATTACACTAAGGGAAAAATAATTGTTGAAATCTCTCACTTCATCCAGTTAAACTGAGCTTGGGATGGGTGCTGCAGAGGGCAGGTTAAGATAAATGTGCCACCTGTTTGGCCCACCAGTCCCAGGGATGGCTGGTTACCAAACCAGTCCCTACAGTAGCTTAAAGCAGTCTCACAGCTGCTCCAAGCAGTAATTTCTGGCTGGTTCATAAGCCTGCGGTGGTACTCTGGATATGACCTCTTCCCACAGAAGTGTCTTCTGTGCCCACAGCTTTGGGATGAAAGGCATTGACCTGGCTACTTTGGCTCTCTACAGTCTAAGAATGCCCTTTAAAGCTGGGAATCCTTAGCTGGCTGGTTAAGGGCATTTGAGGGTCCCTTCACACAGGCACCACACAGCTGGGGGTCTGGCATTGAGCCAGGGGCCCTCCTTGGTGGAGTAAGCTGGTGTTACAGAGAACGGACTGAGGTCTCTGACTGTTCCTATAACATCATTTCCATGTTCCTAACGTTGCCAGCACCTAATTTGTTTGACTTGATGGCACTGCTGTTCTCTAGCAGTGTAGTTTAAGGTACAGTCAAAGGGCGGATTCTCCTTTAGTTTACTTTGAGGAACTCCTTTTAGATGTGTAAGGGTGCAGCAAAGGTAAAAATGCAAAATCTCATTGTAGTAGAGAGGAGGATCCTGAACTGGCATGGTGCAGGAGGCGGGGTGTGTAGAGAGGGACATGGCAGAGCAGAGCAAAGTTACCTAGTGGGAAAATGTCTCCAGAAGTCAATGTGCTGCTCTTGTCATAGGTGACCCAGCAGGAAAAACGTTTTGCATGGATCATCCCCAGAAGGGAATGTGGAAGTCTCAGAGGTACAAACTGGGAGCATAACATTCTTGCAGATGAGATTAGTAAATGACACTGATTGTTTATGATAGAATTGCCCAGGGAAACCAGCAGACGGACTGCACAGCAGCAATACTTAATGCTTTGTTTTTTTCCCTGTCCCCCTCCAGCTTCATGATGTAAAAGAGGACCAGTCCAGCCAGTCGCAGAGGAACTCACGTTCAGCAGCACAGGCAGGAGGATTTGCTAAATGCTGCCAGTGCAGGACGCAGCACAGCACCATGCCATTGGTACTGCTGGTAGCGTGGGTCTCTTCTCACTCTGTCATCACTCAAGGCTTGATCTACTAATCTTTACTCATAATGTGTTGACCTCTGATCTTATCTGTTGTTGCTCATGAGTATGTATCTATTGTTTTGATGAACTATCAGTACTGACAGAAAGTCACCTTTTTCCTCAGTTGGAGTTTGTTTACCTTTTGGGGACTGTTTGTTTTATTGAGCAAATTCCTGGCTAAAAATCCAATAGATGGCAAAGGATAATTAAGCAAAAGACAATGGTGACTTTATTTTGTGATGAATGAATTCAGGAAGGAGAAGCAGGGAGACATTAAAATAGGGTTGTATAAAAAAGCACTGTAATGGTTTAATATAGCATAAAAATGCTGCTGCAAAAGCAGTGAATCCATAGATTTCAAAGCACTCTGAATTTATTTAGTTGTAAATAAGAAGGATTTATCAGTGTTAAAATAATTAGGACCTATCTGATGACTGTTAATAGGATGGTAAAGAGCTATTTGTATGTAAGTATGGGCATCTTTAAAGGATATATAATATATATTTGTAGTTAGTTTCAGTTTGCTTAAAACAGCAGCGTCTTATTCTACTGACACATGTTTTTACTTACAGTAACTACTGGAGTTATAAGGCTGAGATGGAGCTCTTCTGCTACCAAATTACTGACAGACCTGTAATCCTTTTACTGACTAAGCATCATTTCAAAACTGTCTCCAAGCCTCCAGCCTCCAAGCATCCAGTGCCTCTGGTGTTCACAAACTTCCTCGTGGTAGTTCAAACTGCACATAAGCCAGTGTAACTGAGCTGCTGCCTAATTAAGGGATCCCATTCCCCCAGCCGTGGTTTCCCTCTACCTCCTTTGCATCAAACCCAATGAAAATGAGGGTACAGAGTGGTTCAGACCAAGGCAAAACTGTTCCTTGTTTCTCTTTGGTTGATTAGGTTTATGCTGAAATTAATTAATTTCAGTACAAAAGGACAGTTTAAAAATGAACACAAAACTTGTGAATCAGATACACCACCGTGTTCTATCTTCTTCATAGAATGTACAGTACATTGGATGTTTTTTCTCTTTTAAGATCATAGATGGAAAGCCATTATTAGAATTTTTCTTTTAGACAAGAAATGCTGATGCAGCTTCTAGAAGCCTTCTGGTGGTCTGAGCCATGCTTCTGAATCTTTAGACACTCTACTGCCATGCCCATAAGCAAAGGGAAAAATTAAATTATCACAGTTATTTGTTTGTAGTGGAAGAATATTGATTTCATTATGAAATTCAAATTGTTCGTAAAGAGGTATTTTAACATTCTTATGTATAGGTGATTTTAGGGAAAATGCTATCTGGAGTGTATTTTCTTGAGTGACGTTTACGGTGTTTTACATCCCAGAGGACTCCAAGAGTCTCAACTGAGATGAATGGGTCACAATATATTAGCATTTTTCTCATTTTCCTTACTTAGATTAAGCAGAAATACGTGTTCTGTAACCTTGAACTTTAGAGTTATGAGCTTATTATGAGTTTGTCTGTCCTCTGCAATGATTACTCCCTAGGACACCCAGGTGTTTTCAGGAGCTGGATGCCACTTACAGAACAGGAACCCTGTTTCTAATGGTTGATCTTCTGACATCAGATTGAGAAATACTTCCCACTGATGTGCTTACATCCTCTGAAAAACAGCCCTGATACTGATGGCAAGTTCCAAATAGTAGCTGCTTCTGATTCACCAAGTGCTGAAGCCACATGAGAAGTTAATAGAACACATGAGAACAATATCTTTATTTCATGGAATTACTATGAATATGTTTCTTAGGCCTGTCTCAGCTACTTAGTTCCTACTGAACCCAGGCCCAGATTCTTTCACAATGTTTTGGTAAGTTTAAACATTTGATCAAGTAGGTTCTGATTCACAGGGAAGCAAACAGGTTTGATTTTTTTTTCTTTCCTTTCTTTCATAAATCCTAAACCAGTTAAACTGCATTCCTGTTGGCCTGGCGTCCTTCATGAAGAAATAAGTGTTACACACAGTATGTATGCAATTTCTGGATAGAAAACAAACTGTAGTTCTACTAGCAGGTTTAGTTTACAAATCATTAAGGAAGATGAGGTGGTTCATGTTGTGCTGATACTGAGACACAGTCTGCTAAGATGTGGTTTAGACTATGAAAAATAAGTTAAAGACCAACTGTCTCAATTTCCCTCCATGATTTTAAATGAGACAACCACAGAATTTACTCAAACAGAAAATGAATATTTTATTTCATTTGCAGTTCCTGATGGTTTCTTGTATTCATTAATGTCTTTGTGCTTTGTTTCCTTACATCTTTCCACTTCTTGCACATGCTTTTCTTATGTAGTGGGTGTTTTCATTCACTACAACTCCTCACAGTGGACTTGTTCTCAGAGGTGATGGATGAGGGGAGAGAAAGGGACAGTGGACTGGCTACCAGGAAAATTTTGTAATTTATTTACAAGACAGTAATTAATAAATAAAACCAAACAAACTTTAAACAGCAGCTTTCTTGCACCTTTAAACAAAATTATTCTTCTACCCTGGAATCTGATTTGGAATGGGACCTTATGTTCACATATCCTTTGTAGCGTTTACAGCAGTGCATTTCAAACACTTGAGTGGCCTTGCCATTTTCTGCCTACCAGTAGTTTTGTGGAGCTATTTAAGTAGCTTAAATTTTAATCCACAGGTATTTGGAAGAAGGATGAATCAGTGGTCAAAAAACACAGCTCATTAATTTTACATAATAGCAAAAGAATAAATAGGTCAGTCAGTATTCTGTGCCTTATTTTACTAGTAGCATAGTCTAACTGCTGTGTAGTTAGGGTTTATAGGGTACTTTGAAGATGTAATTTGTTGTACAGGACTAATGTTTTGTTCATACATTTCTACATCTAGCTATACTCAAAAAGAAATACTTAACTTGCTTGAAGCCTTTTTGAGTTTCTGGTGCACAGTGAAAGCAAGCACACTGGGATTCAGCTGACCAAGTGCCTCTGTGTATCTCTAGTTACCTGGCTAGACCCCCCACTACAAACAGGAAAGAAATGGCTGCATTTGAGGAACAATTTGTTTAGTACTAAAGTACGTATCTGGAAATAGATCATATGAATCATTTGTGTTCTGCTTTGTCCTTGGTTTTGCAAAAAATGTATTTCTGCCTCTTCAGGTCCTGAGAAAGCTCTCTCTTGCATATGTGAGCTTGCAGAAAGCTCTGGTATTCCTGAGCTGTTAAAATGAAATTTCTTGTTGGACATACTGACAACCCTTTAGATTTCCTCTGACAAACTTTAAAGCATTTTCAAGACCTAGAAACTGTCTCACAGGGGGAAATAAATTGATCAGTTCACATGCTAAGCATCTGCCAACTCTGTATTCACATTTTTCTGCACTATTTTACTTAGCCTTTTACTGAATGATCATCATTGTGACTACTTTCATCTTCCAGAGAGTAGAGTGCTTGACGTGCTCAGGGACTGTCATGGGGTAACTGTTATAAAGACTTCTATTGTATGAAGTTAGGAAAATTAGCATCTCTTGCTAGACAATTCACTGCTGAGGGGTTAGTAACATAGCAAAAGCTTGAAACATCTAGTAAGGGAAGAAAATGAACAGGGTATTCATGACTGAAATCTGTTTCCAAAAAGACATTACTTTTATTTGTTATACTCTTAAAGATTGAACTATGTCTGCATCAATAAAATCCAAGTAATGATTGGCATCTGGCTACTTTTATAAAGTTACGTCTATTTTGTAAAGCACATGAGAAAAGACAAATGTGACAAAAGAGAAGATATATAATGGATTTGCACTGTCTGTGAAGGTAATGGCTCTGCAGATGCACCTGTGATGCACTGCATCACACCCAGTGAGAAGCTACAGTCCCTTTACAGCTCAGCACCTGCAGATCTGCACTTGATTAGGCAAGTGCAATCCCTCCATGGGATTTAAGCACGGGTATAGCACTGAGGGTGCTGAGGTATACCACTAAGGGCCTTAGGGATTCAGAACTCAGAAATGCACGTGTCCACCCACACTTCCCAGGCATGGAGTTTTGTGTGGTTAGCCACTGTACTTCGGTAGGCTGTTGCTGCTGCCGGCAAAACAGAGTGACGAGAGTTACTGGTCCCACCCACATAACGACAATCAAGTGAAACTTTTCCTCCCTATGTTGAAAGATCCGCGTGGAGAAACCTTTCCAGGCCAGGAGGGGGTGGGGCCCCGAGTCTGCAGTCGGGCGCGCTGTATGCAGCAGGTAGGCAGACAATTCTTTTACAATTTGCTGTTCTTCCTTACCACACAAGCATAAAAGAAACCCAGATGAAGCTACTGCTTTGATCTTGCTCATTCTTTTTTCCCCACGTGAGTAGGTTACATGTGACTTCAATAAATGACAAAAAAGAGAGGGAAAAAAGAAATATCAATTTGCAGCTTCTGTACCTGTGCAACCTTATTAAATCAAGACAATCTAGAGCAATGCTTTCCAAATAACTATGGTAATCCCTCTCTCTGTGAGACATTTACTATTTTTATTATCATATTTGGTGTCAAATTACATCTCATTAACCATTTCAGTCAGCTGAACTACAACTGCAATATACTATTTAAGACTGTATGTGGAACTAAATAGAGATGCCTACATATTCTTGTGGCTATGGTCAAGAATGTGTCATTTCATTGCTCTAGGTGCTAAATTGTTTTTTTAGAAAAGTGATTAAAGGCAGTGAAAGAAGCAGAAAGAAAGAAAGAATTGGAACTGCCCGTGTGAGATTGTTTAAAATGCTTGAGGAAAATGTATTCTTAATGGGGTATATTGATTCTGTGATAATTTTTATTATAATTAGTTTTTAAAACATTATATTTACCATAGGTATCCTTGCCATATGTGTGTTATGAGCCTGGGAGAACAGGATGATAATGCTTGCACTGAGTCAAGTGACAGTCGTCAGAATATAGAAGATCATAAATTCCTGGCTGACTGAGAAAGAGCAGGAAGTGTGCTGAAGTATTCCTCCTATGATGTAGCAAGATCTTAAGGAGATGTCTTGTATTCACTGTATATCCACAAGCAAATGT